ACACAAAATGGCTCATTCTAAGGTAACAAAAACACAATGATTCAGGTCATTATACACTAATACAAACATACCTATGAATCCTTCTTCACTCTAAAAGCTTCGGGTTTCTTAAACAATTATTAGTGAAACATTAAAACCTTTTTAAACAGTTTTATTAATAAAGTTTTATCGATGAGTTGAAACCTGCTCGTAACAAACAGGTTGAGGTGAAACTGTGATTCTAGTATGTCAATAATTTTGTGTGTTCAGAGGTGGTGCAACCTTTGCCAGAGTTCATCGACCCTGAAGACCAGCAGACCTCAGAGGATCAGATCAGGCTCACAGAGACCCTCCACATCACTGAAACAAAGACCAGCAGACCTCAGAGGATCAGATCAGGCTCACAGAGACCCTCCACATCACTAAAACAAAGACCAGCAGACCTCATAGGATCAGATCAGGTTCACATCAACCTGACAAACATCTGCAGAGAAAAAACGAACAGCAGAGAACCTAAAAAACTGACGGTAAGAACTGTGATCTGGATATATGAACAGGACTAATGTGGTCCGGTGTCAGGGGGGTTCAGACTGTTCAGATCTGTTCTATGAATCCTTTTACAGTCTGAATTTGTAGTTTTGTCTTTTTCTTCGTCTTAAACAGTGAAGTTGTCACTAAATAGATTTAAAATTTTAGTTGTTGGATTCGAGGCACATCATGTGACTGAAACAGGAAATAGTTTTAGTTTGAAGGGCTGTGGCGGAGGTCAGAGAGGGCAGATAAAGCCACTTAATCCCCAACTGTTTATTAACAATGAAACTACTGTATCTGTTTTAGGGAAATTCCCTCCTGAGACTGAGAATAAAAAAGGTTTTAATATTTTGACACTGTTTGATTTTTATCTCATCTAATCTTTATTATTTTTTCTTTGTGGTGGACAAATCCGGAACCAAACACATCTGTGAAATCTAAATCAATGTTTGGGTCGTTGTAGGACTGTCACATGGTTTATGAACATAACATGAAGGAGGAACCCCACAAATAATTGTTAACTATGCCAACAGGATAATCTGCTGGATGTGGATTTAGGCAGCTTGTTGCTAACATGTTAGCCATAGCTACTTTAAGGTACTTAATACTGGACCTTTAAGAGCTTGTATTTTTCACAATTACTTTTACTTTAAATATTAAATATTAAATATAAGTATTTTCCTACAGACAGTGGCGGACCTAGAGGGGCAGCAGTGGCCACCCTAGTTTGGTGTCAGATTCTGTCTAATTTTACACTTAATTTCGATAATTTGTAATTTTTTAGATGCCACTGTGATTTTGTGGATTAATCTTATTATTAGTATCACCTGTGTGTTATTGTGTGAGACAGATATAGGACCAGGTCAGTGCTGCAGATACAGGGCATAGGTCAGCACTGCAGATACATGCGTTTAGAACGGGAGGGTGAAGCGATGGAGCTGCAATCTGCAACTATGCTAGATGCCACTAAATCTTACTCACTGCACCTTTACATGTTTTTTGGTGTTGTTGACGTCCTGCTGTGTTTCCAGGTGTTCTAGGTGTTTGCGGGACATTCAGCAGCATGGCGGTGGGCCTGCAGGTTGTGGGTCTGCTACTGGGCGTGGTGTCCTGGTGTCTGCAGTCCAGCTGTACCTCCTCTCAGGTGTGGAAGGTGAGGAGTCAGCAGGAGTCGGTCAGCAGCAATCAGTGGCAGTTTGAAGGTCTGTGGATGAGCTGCGCCGCCACCTCGTTGGGGTCCCTCCAGTGCAGCAGGTTCAAAACAGTGCTGGGACTGCCGGGTGAGCACTCACTGCTCAGATTGTGTTCGACAAATAAAAATAATATCTGTTTCACTGTGTACAGTATTGTGTGTATACTTCCATTCATTTACACGTTATTAATGATGTTGTTTAGCTATTGGGGTAAAATATATAGTATTTCCTAAACGGGACCATCATTTACTAAATGAACATCATGCTGTATGGAAGAAGATTGAAACTAGAGACTGAGACCAGAAACTCATCAACTGTTTACTGAGCTCATAAATCAACTTCTCCATAAGACTCAATACTATCAGAGTGGAGCTGCCCCCTGCTGGCTGTTAGAGAGAATGCAGGTTTAAGACATTTAACAGATCAATGAGTTCAAATGGAACAGATTCAGCTGTTTAAAAAAAATAAAATCTTAGTTTTTATAGTAAACAGTGCAACTATTAATCATTCACAGTTACTTATTGCCAAGAATCAGAGCTTCAAACTTTAAACTCATTTTACAAAAGTGCAAACAAAGAGAAAACTGATTCTGGAACATCACAAGGTTCTTCGTGGTTAATAAACTGTGTTTGATGTGTGTGGTGGTTTCCAGTTCACCTGCAGGCCTGCCGGGCTCTGATGATCCTTTCCCTGTTGGTCGGTCTGGCCTCTATCATCGTCTCTGTGCTGGGACTCAAGTGCACCAAGATCGGCAGAACCTCGGAGCACATCAAAGACCAGATCGCCCTGACGGGAGGAATCCTGTTCATCCTGTCTGGTATGTGTTTTACAGAATGATCCATCTGTGTGATCAATAAAAACATCATTTTAAAACCAGTTATTGTCAATAATATCTTTGTAGGGGTGTTCACTCTAAGTGCAGTCTCCTGGTACGCTGCTAGAGTCATCCAGGACTTCTACGACCCGCTGTACGGAGGCGTCCGGTCAGTCTCAGCTTCCTCTGCAGTATTGTATATACTGTGTGTGTGTGTGACTTCCTGCTACTAATGTTGTGTGTGCTGGTGCTGCAGGTTCGAGCTGGGTACTGGTCTTTATCTGGGCTGGGCGGCCTCCTGTCTGGCCATACTGGGAGGATCTATGCTCTGCTGCTCCTGCAGGAAGACTTCCCCTGCCGCCCCTGCACGGTAAACCCAGAGCACCACACACACAGGATCCCATCGTAGGAGTTTGATTTCAGCTAGCTTTTATATGCAACTGTAGCTAACAGCGCCACCAGTGGACGCTCAGTGAACTGCATCCTGGGCGTCGGCCAACAGTGACAAACACTGAACG